AAAGTAATATATATATATATATATTTATATATGCTACTTATTAAATAATGATGATTTATTGATAAAGTTATGATGATATATTAGATATTTATAGTTTTAAGGATTTTTATAGCAATAAAAGGACAGTATATTTTCATTAGTGATGTGGCGTCAAAAATATTTAACTGCGGATACGAATAAGATTTATTAGTGTCTAGATCCGCGTAATCGGATACGGATATATATTTTTTTAATTCATTTCTTTCAAATTTTCATTTTAATACACGTAAAGATTGTGGGTTAAATCTCGTTGTAAAGATAGTCAAATAATCATAACATACATTTTCGGACATATGACACACAACGCCATCTAGTTTCAAACTAAGCAGAGCTTGTACTATGAAAGCTAGATTGACTGATAGAATACTTATGTATTTCTTTTGAAAATACATAAATGTTATACATAAAAAAACACCCAAACTCCGAAACAAATATTTGCAGACCACACAAAAATTTGGTCCGACATGGGAATCGATACCGAGACCTCAGCACAGCAGTCGCAAACGCTACGACTAGCCCCGAGGCTAGATATTTAATTAGAGCGTAAGAAATCTAGAATACAAGTTTAATAATGTAAAATGTCGGTCAAATATTCGTTAAAATGATAACTGTTAACTGACGATACGGATACGGATAAAAATCTTTTTTTTCTTCGGATATTTTACGTATAAAGAGTGTTCGTGAGTTTGTTTGCCTTTTCTACTCACAAGGCTCAACCCCTGGAAAACGGGCGGTTGTAGATCGGCACAGGCATATAATGGATTAACTTCAATTTGCTAAATATTTGTCAAAACAGAGATTGTTGCTATTGTGTGTTGATCTATGACTTTAGTCTAAGACAATTTCAAATATTGTTTTTTTTTTCATGAAATAAAGATATTTTGGGTTTGAGTCTGATACAGATATCCGGTACAACCCTAATTTTATTATATTTTTAACCACACGAGATTCTATAAAAAAAAGCCTTATGCTGTAATCAAAAACGATAAACCACAAGCGAATATGTATGGAATAGCCCTTAAACAGTAAAAAAATGGCTATAGTATAATACATAGACAATAATTACATACGAGTACATATAGACACACTCACACCCATATTTCCGAAGGGGTAGGCAGAGATCTGTTAAACGCCAAGTTGACTGCAATGATGGCGTAGTGCGGTCGCCACGGTGCTTCCTACTATGCTGAGTGTTGTGGGTCCGATCCCCACATGGGACGACACTTTGTGTGATCCACAAATTGTTGTTCTGAGTCTGGTGTTCTTTGTGTCCGTTTCGTGTATGTTTGTAAAGTACCACGCGACACAGGATATATTCCTCATGCGGGAGTAGTCTTTAAAAAAAAGACATTGTTTATCCGGATTCCGGATATATACGGACGAGTCCCACTGGCGTATTGGGAGCAAGCAAGAAAGGTAGATAAGTAGGGAAAGCAATGGTCGGAAAGACTTATTGCTTATCCGGATTCCGGATATATACGGACGAGTCCCATTGACTTATTGGGAGTAAGCCACAAAGGTAGATAAGTAGGGAAAGCAATGGTCGGACATATTGATTATCCGGATGCCGGATATATACGTCCGTATATATCTGACCAGATCTGGATAAAATTTGGAACAGAGATATATTTTAGTCTGGAATTGTTAATTTACTACTTTTTATAAAGCGAGCTAGGATGCGGGTAAATAGTGGTGTACTACGGACTTTTTATTTTACACGAAATTTTGTTCGCTGTAATATTTGTTGTGTATAAAAAATTACCTAGATTTTGTTCGTAGTTTTGATCCTTTTTTTATTTAATAACGTACTTATTATTTAAATAAAAACTATTTAATAAATAAACTCTAAGTAAAGAAACAGTGAAAGAAACACGGACGTAATGTAAATAAAAAAAAAGTATAAATGTTTATGTACACAAATTAAGAAGATCATGTAACAGATTAAATACAGACGTTTAAATTGCTTGACGATTCGATCAGGTTGCACTGGCCGTGGTCATTATAAAAATAATAAAATTCCCGTGATCATTCATAATTTTATGCTTGCGATGTTTTATTGAAAACACTTTTCGCGTATACAGAATTTATTCCAATAAGATTGGCAACCCTATCTATTATAAATTAATTAATTGATAGCTAAGGTTAAAAGTCTTGTTAAATGAGATTCACAGAATTAAAATATGATATAATTAGAAGAGATTGAAAATAAAACAAAAAATTAATCTATTTACGTAAAAAGAAACCAAACCACACATACCAAAATGAACTATCTATCGACCCTGTACAGATTCAAATGATTGATTCCCGCTCAAGTCAAGCATTTGTATGCAGGCACATTTAATGTTTGATTTGGTCTGGGTAGAAACACCCAACCCAAACACCATGTATAATAAGTATGTATTTATATCAGTTGTCTAGTACCCATAGTACAAGCTCTGCTTAGTTTGGGACTAGATAGCGTTGTGTGAATGTGGTAGAATGTTATATTATATTATTATTATTATATATTTGACTAATATGAAGAAGAAGTGTAGAATAATTTAATGACAAGTTTCCCGATCCACATAAAACCCCAAGCTTCATTTTTCGTGGTGTAGTGGCAAATAAGCAGACGGGATACCTGTTGATAAGTAACTACCGCATCTAATGGACATACAACACAAGGTAGAAAGTCCGTTGCAACCTTTGGAGTGCCTCCATATTTATTGGACCTCCGGAAACCACACTGACTTAGTAAAAAGCAGGGAAAGTCTTTTTTACACACGGCTTTCTGATCCCAAACTAGGCAGAGCCTGTACTATGTTAACCAGACTGCTGATAAACATACTTATATATTTCTAAATACATACATATTATAGATACATTACACCCAGACATAGAAAAAAGGATCGTGCTCATAATACAATTATTTGTCCTGGGTGGGAATCGAACCCACGACCTCCGGCTTAGCACTCAAGGTCACTAACCACTAGACCAACAAGCCAGTAAAAAAAATTGATTAACACTAGTTTTACTAGCAAAAAAAATGTTTAGCCCAGTTGTGAGGAAGCGTGGCTCTCCCACGATATCCTTTGATGCTCTTTCTCAAAGCTAGCATGTGTGGGTAGAGTCTGTTTTGCGTAAATAGTTTTATATACTTTGCTTCATAACAGAAGAGATGAGAAAAGAACAGATAACATAACCTACAGAAGAGAAAAGACATCACAAATTAAAAAGCTATTAGAATTCAAATTTTGAATCACATACGATTTGCTTACAGCTTATACAGAGTGGTAAAGATAATTTGTGGTCATAATCTTGGAGTAATAGTCATAAAACAATAGGGATGTTATTTATTTACTTCACGGAAAAATATTTTATCTCACACACGGCCGTCTGATCCTAAACTATGCAGAGCCTGTACTATGGTAACCAGACTACTGATAAACATACTTATAAATTTATAAATAGAATTACACCCAGACACAGAACAAATAAATAAATAATAGTAATAATATACACCACGTTCACATAACGCCATCTAGGTCCAAACTAAGCAGAGCTTGTAAAATGGGTACTAGACAACTGATATAAATAGATATTTACTTTTATTTTTGTAAATACATACATATTTTACATAGAAACACCCAGACCAAATCAAATATTAAATGTTCATGCACACAAATGTTTGACTTGAGCAACGCACGACCTGCTGATTCAGTAGTCAGGATCACTAACCACCCTCGGTATCAAAATACCATCTTAAAAAGTCAATTTTTGAGTTATCAATATTCAGTCTCAAATAAGATCTGAAATTTCGCCAACGAAATAATGTAAAATTTGGAATATTTTTTTCAGTTATAGTTTATAAGAAAGCCAAATCATTTTAACAATTTAATATAAAATTTAAGAATATATGAAAATGGCAATAAATAGGTCAAATAAATACAAAACATAATGGTCTCGATCTTCAACTACTACTTTACACAACCGACACAAACCACGCTACGACCCTACCACACAACCCACCACACCCTATAATATGACCACACCTTTCTGTAACACTCTGTATAACACATATATAAAGCTACTCAACACTATTTATAACACACAACACAAAATCATTATTGAATTTTACTGTTTAAGATCATTATAATAAATAAGTCTTTCAGTTAACCGATTCGGTTAACTTCGGTAATTGTACCGATTAGGGTCACACGACCGGTACAAATGCAGAAATTAATAGATACTGAGATAATTTTTAGTGTACTAGTGTAATATGTAATGTGTACTTCTGACTGAAAATGGACGATTACGTGATTTCGATTGAAATTGATTCCTTTTATGATTTCGCTCATTTTAAAGTTAAAAAATATTATTAGTAAGGCCCTACACACTATGTTAACATTTTAACATTAAAGGACACGTATTGCCATTCCCACAAAATTAGGCGAAGACGCCCAGCGTGGTACCGCTTAGCAGCGTCACGCCTAAACTAGCCTACTAGATAAATATATTTTATTTTTAGGATTGTCGTTGCCTAAAATTGAATAAATAATATTGTGACGCTAGGCGTTAACCAATTAATGTTGGTCAATAGTACCGGTCAATTCGGTTAAAATTTTATTTTATAATTAATATTGATATATTTTTTTAATACAAAGCAGTATTGTCCCGGTATGTTACTTAATTTATTGAGATTCAGTTTATTCGAGGATATTTTTCTTTTAAATTTATTTGGTAAAGAGCCTGACCGAACTATTCGGTTGACCGAAACTATGGCTACATGTCTGATTTTTTTTATGAAATTTGCCGCTTCAACCGATGCGACCGGTAACCAAAGTCTCCGGTTTAACCGGATTCTGACCGAGCTACAATCGGTCACATAACAAAATCAGAATTAATATGTACATGGCTATCACTAAAGTGTTGAACTTTAACTGGACGTTTTGTCTATGACTATGGCTCGACTAACTAATCGACTAATGTCTGGTTAGGCGTTTAGGCGTAGTTTTTGGCTTTAGTCGGTCCCTCCTTACCTTGGTTAGTCGCATTCTTTCGCATCTGAAATAAAAATAATAATTAAAAAGACAAATCTATTTAGACAAGAATTAAAAAATTAAAAACAAAAAGTGTGTGTGTGTGCAATTCTCACACGGCAGAAGTAAAACTTCAGAAAAGTGACAAGAGAATCAGAAAAAAAATGTAAAATTGAAACATTTTTTTTTTCTAAGGTTAATAAATTTAATTATAGATATTTTTTATGAATTAATTAATTATTGGTCAAATTAACACATATGTATATAACATAAATTAACTAACCAACGAATTTTAATACGCAAACGCACAAAAATAAAACCCGTGAATGATACACCACTTTGTTTACGACACATTTTCTGAAGGCCTTTTCTGAGGAGACGAAGATTACAAAAAACACTGTATACTTGTAATCTATCTCATTCTCTCGCAGGCTAAATCCTATTTATGCATATGTTTGTCTCTTTTTACTGTCGCTTTCTTTAATAATTTTGAATCGGGTCGATTCCTAAACATTAGAACCTAATAAATAAAATTAAAGCGACGTTTCTTCAAATTGATTAATTAAAGTCGGTATTGAGATCTTTATTTTGAAGTCGGTTAAGTGTCACTGACTTAACTGAGTTTATTTATGAATGCGATCGAAGCTCCCGTCAAAATATAATATTATTATACAAATATCAGTTTCTTGCAGTTTCACCTGTTTTTAGTCTAAAACTCTGCGCGTTATTTTTTTTTCATATAAAATGTATGAGAAAGGAATGTCTTTTATAATTTTTTCGTGATTTTTTTAATACTTATCCTGATATTCAGAGGGTAGACAAATAAAAAACTCAAATATCATAAAAATCTTTGGCTCTTGAGTTATAAAAGGTGTAACTGACCCGACTTTGGTTTATCTACAAGTTGATGTTACTAATAAGTTTTTTTTTTCATCGAGATCGATTTTTTCTGACCCGTCATCAAAAGTATCATCAGAACTGTTCTGTCTCGTTTCCCCAACACCCTGTACCATTAAGAAGAGTACACTCACGTGTCTAAGACATGCTTCTTGCTGAGCATTCTGTGAAGGTGGCGCATGGAGTCGGGCGGCACGCGGTGGGCGGTGGCCCGCGCATGCGCGCCGCACGCCGCCCGCGCGGCTCCTCCCGCCGCTTGGTACGAGAACGTGGCGTCGTCGCGCGGGACCATGCGGGGGCGGGCGCGACTTGCGCACATACCTGGGGAGGGCAGTGTTCACTGTCAAGTGACTAGCAACTTGTGACGTCATAGTCCGCATCGTCATTTATTTCCTAATAAATACATTTTTATGTAAACAAATAAATAATAATTTGCGATATTTCAGAAATCTAGTTTTCATTTATATGCGAAATTTTCAAACTTGTTAAAATCTAAGTATTAAGGGCCCGAAATGACAAACAGAGAGCAGAACATTAAAGTTACCCTATAAGGATTCCTTTTGTGAAACGGAACGCTAAAATACCTACCTAAAGATATCGTAACTCTAATAATACTCGTATCTTATATAATAGTTCTGATTTCTGAACTGAATTAAGTTAAATAAAAAACACTAAGTATTTAAAAAAACAAAAAAAAATACATTTACAGCAACCTACGCAACTGCACCTAAATTAATAATACATAGCTATCTGTGTGACGACACGGAAAAGTTTTAGACAATATGTGTCAAAATGAGAACTTTAGACATTATGTGTGACGAACGGCAACTCTTATAATTAAACCGCCGTAAGCTTGGCCCTCCTGATGGTTTGGGGGACGCGGGGCGGGGGTGCATTCAACCAATTAGCTAGTGCGTCGCTGTCCGCCGGCAGTGACTGACGTGAAAGCATGGCTGTACGTGTTATTTTTCTTAAGACTGCTACACACGGTATTATTTTGCAACATGGATAATCTGCCGACTCTGCGTCACAAAAATGATTTAAAAACTTGAAGTTCGGCTTACAGAGGTTCTACTGTTAAAGTTCTAATAAAGAATATTTATTATTTTACTTAATTTTTAAATTGTATCTGAATATAATTTACATGATGAAGATAAGGTGATTTTATTAAAATTATTTTAAAGTATTAAATTTTACAATTAATCATAAAAACTTACAATACACTGACATTATAATACATGTAAATAAATTCGATTTTTATTATATCGTGTGTAGATTAAATCTCAAACAAATAAATCTGAAGATATCGAGTTAGTACATCGTGTCATGTATAGCCGAGCGCATCACCCGCCTCGCGTCCCGCAAACCATCAGGAGGGCCAAGCTTACGGCGGTTTAGCTATAGAGCTTGAGTGTTGTGACACACATATTGTCGATTTGTCGAGTGGCAATTTTTAGACAATAATTGTGACGAAAGTAAAATAATAGTCAATAGGTGTGACAAAATAAGACAATAAATAATTTAGCATACCAGTAATAAATATATCTTCTAAATGGAAATAATTAGTTTTTAACGCCGCCTCGTAGAGGGCGCGGGCGGTGTGCGCCGACAGAGCGTAGCCAGTTCCCGACAAGTACTTGGGGTACACTCGACCCCCGTACATGTAACGGGGGCTATACCTGAAATATTAAAATATTCATTTTAGAATAATGTATAGGAGCCTTTTTTTTCCGTGCGGAGATCCCCTCGGATACCACATGTCGTTGGCATGTCGGACTCGAACCGACTAAAACCGCACGCCGTCTCGGGTACTAATAGCCGGGGAACCCAGGCATACCCTAGAAAGGAAGTCCCTGATGAATGTATAGGAGCCTGGAGGAAAGGATTTCTCTAAGAGGTGATGGAATTACATAGAGATAATATAAGATTTAGTGATTAATCATTTTTAGAAAGACTATCAGAGAGTCACTATAACAAAGGAGATGTCCACTTTTTGTATGGACGTTGGTTTTTTATTCCACTATGGCTCAAATTAAACTGATATGTAACAGCTGAAATTAGGAATTGAGAGTTCGTTTTTAAATCCTGCATTTAAAAGAAAACTAAGAGTTATTTAATTATAGTAGATATTTTTTTATTGCAGGATGGCAATACTAAATATACTAGTTACTATTGTTTATTAACAAAATACATCAATAGTAGGTAATGTCAATTTCTCTTTATAATAATAATATTCTACCACAATCACACAACGCCATCTAGTCCCAAACTAAGCAGAGTTTGTACTATGGCTACTAGACAACTAATATAAATACATATATACTTTTTTTTTGTAAATACATACATATTATACATAGAAACACCCAGACCAAATCAAACATTAAATGTTCATGCACACAAATGCTAGACTTGAGCGGGAATCGAACCCGCGACCTTTTGAATAGCAGTCCGTTACACAAACCACTACGCCATTCGGTCGGTTTATATTTATAGAAATCTCACATGTCTTCATAGGATACTCAAACCAACACTAGCAACCGAAATTACTAGTATTCCCGTTAACCCCTCCCGCTAAGCTAACTTGCTTGTGTTAGGATTGGGTTCACGTCAGTAGTGTACTGGTCAGGATTCGAACCCACGACCTCTTGGCTACTGCCGCTTCTTTAACACACACAGAGAGAGAGAGAGAGAGAGAATATTAGTTCTTAGGAAGTCTATTCAAACATATTTGATTCATTGCTACTGAATTTTTTCAGTTCTTATATATTTTTGTAGCTTAGGGGCAAACGAGCAAACTGGTCACCTGATGGAAAGTGACTACCATCGCCCATAGATACCTACCATGCAAGAGACAAAAGTACAGGCATTCGACCATATCTACCATCGTCGTTTAAAAATGGTATTTATTTTAAAACCTACCATTTATTGGTAGAATCCAGCACAGGTCTAGCTCCACAAATGAGATCACCAATCAACAGGTACTCTTTCTCCTTCTTCCCCTTCGTTCTCTTATCGAACTCCTTTGATCTATTTCTCAGGTTTTCTATAAGATTTGGCACATTGATATACATATCGTCGTCCGTTTTCAGAATGTAACGAACTAAAAAAGAAAATATATATTTTTAATCTGGTAACCCATGTTTGACGGGCCTGTTGGTCTAGTGGTTAGTGACCCTGACTGCTCAACCGGAGGTCGAGGGTTCGATTCCCACCCAGGCGAAATATTGTGTGATGAGCACGGTCATTTGTTCTGTGTCTGGGTATAATTTATCTATAATATGTATCTATTTAAAAATATATAAGTATGTTTATCAGCAGTCTGGTTACCATAGTACAGGCTCTGCCTAGTGTGGGATCAGACGGCCGTGTGTGAGATGTGTGAGGGTATTATTATTATTATGTTCAAATTGGTGTACGGGTTCGAACCCGCAACCATGTTATTAAGCAACTTTACACGCGACCTTCTCATTCATAACTAGGCAGAGCCACTATGTTAACCAAACTGTTGATTAACATATATTTAAATATTTCTAAATTCATACATATTATAGATAAATTACACCCAGACTCAGAACAAATAATTCTCATCACACAATTCTATTGTCGTAATCGAATCCACGTCTTACGGCCTAGGAATCCTTATCTCTAACAACTAGCCCAAGGATTCCCAAAGTGGTCTATATAGACCCCTTGGGGTCGAAATCGGTTTCCCAGGTGTCGACATAAATGAAAACTGATTTTGGGCGTCGATGAGGTCTAAAATCGACCCCTATTAATTAACACAAGTTCTTATTAGAAATTTTCAAGATACTGTAATAGTTGTGTTACGTGAACCAACTTGTAAGAATGAATAATATTTTAGTAGGAATTTTCATTGTTGTACTTTTAAAAACTCAACAAGTCGATAAGCGCGCATAAATTTGGCTATTTAGTATGAGGTGTCGGTTCATTTTTGAAAAGGAGGTCCATTGTCCTAAATACTTTGGGAATCACTGAACTAGACCAACAAGCCACTCAATTAAAATAATAATTGGGGCAATAACACTAACCCGGAAGCGGATTAATTCTTCACAAAGCATAAATAAAGGCCTGTTTTTCCTGTTCGGTAATTCCCCCTGATAACACCCACCAGTGGGTTGATTATGTCGGACTCGAACCGACCAAAACCGCACGCCGTCTCGGGTACCAGTAGCCGGGGAACCGCCACCCTGGCCTGCCTCTGCTAGGATAACAGATGGCCTCACCCGTCACCCAACTTAAATAACCCCCTTTCTGTCTAGTCAACGTTAAATTGGCTTTTGACAATATAAATAAAAACTAACTATTGCCCGCGGTTTCCCTCATGTGATTTTATCTCATTTCGTGTTACTAACTTTAAAAATAACGAATTTCCATTCCACCCCATTAAGGGTGAAATTTCCAAAAATCCTTTCTTAGCCAGTGCTTACAAACTAAAAGCATCAGCTGTCAAAACAAGTTATTAACCCCAGTGGTTTAAGCTCTGTGCTGATGAATTATTCAGTGAGTCAGGCAAAGAAATTTTGTATGAAAAGTTAAGAAGTAATAGGTTATCTTGGTATGGACATGTCATGCGGAGGGATGAGGAAAATGTGGCGAAGAAAGTTTTAGGTATGAGAGTTGAAGGGTACAAGAGAAGAGGCAGACCGAAGAAGAGGTGGATGGACTGCGTCAGGGAGGATATGGCTAGGAAGGGAGTAAACAGTGAGATGACGCATGACAGAGTAGAATGGAAAAATCATACATACTGCGCCGACCCCAAATAAAATTGGGAAAAGGGTAGGCAGATGATGATGAGATGTAAAAAAATATACATACCACTATCATTACAGTTATTCGTGATCCATTTCAGCATCATTATAGACTTCAGAGTTAAATTATTGTAAGAATCAATAAAGCCTTCTTGAATAATATCACCATACTTTTCAGACTCTTCCAAAATTTTATTCTGGATGGTAGAATCATTATTGTTACTTGGCAACCCTAACAGAAAAACTACCTTATAGTCTGGTTCAGTGCTACCATCCTCCAAATCTTCCTTCACTTTTGGTAGATTCTCTTTTAAAGTGTTATCCCGTCTAAGTAAATTTAACACTCTTTCTAGATCTATATTGTCTTCATAACCGTTAGGTGGTATTTTCATAACATTACTATCATAATAATCATAGTTGGGTATTTCGGTGTGATCCCCTAGTTCTTGATTCATATCGAATTCTGGCAACATTGAATTATCGTCATCCTCAAATCTTTTTTCAGGTACATTTTCAGTCTTATCCTTAACCAAGTTATTTTGCAAAGCCTTAGCTAGTTCGGGTAATAACTGCCTAAAACTGGATATGTCTCTTTTATTTCTAACACTAGTATCATTCAAGTTATCTAAATCACCTGATTCTGAATACAAATCGTAACTGAAATTATAATTTTTATATTTCTGTTTGACAGCGTGGTATAATTTTGACATTTGTAAATATTTTTTATAACTACCCCACGTCTCTCGTATGGCTGACCGGCTGTCAAAGTTTGTAGTTGAAGAGCAAACAACTATAAGTAAAAATAATTTGTTTTTTGTGTTTTTATGGCAAACATCTTTTGGTTCTTGTATAATAGTTACGTTGTTCGGTTGTACGTAGATTTTTGTGTCGCGGTTCGTGTGTTTTGACCAACCTGCGACTATCTCTGAAAAAAAGAAACAAAATAATAATGTCATTAATACATATTATGCATGGACTGCTAAAGGTTGTTAAATGATATTTATTTCTGCAAGTAAATATTTTCAGATATTTTTACATGTCGAACTTTATAGCGCCGGTATTTTCTAAGACTCACTCTGGGAAGAAACGCCGAAACAAACCGCAGAGGTGTCTTTTTTTTTAAGTCCATGTACAATGTTAAAGAGAACTACGTGAGTGCAGTATAGGGTTTTGGATGGCCCTTTGAAGACAGGACTATAGTTTTGAGTCGGCCTGTCCATACAGACGGCATACGAGCCCCAGAGACCTCGTAGCATGTGTGTTGCCCAGCCATCGTGTGTTGATGATGATGATGTAACATGTATTTGAAAGCATTCATCTCAGAAACTGCTAATCCTACTTCAAAAACATTGCCTTAGATAGTATAGTATAGTATAGTATAGCCTATGCATTGAGGAGCATTATAACCTATGTAATCCCCGCTTCTGTTTTTCCCCAGGTGGTACAAGCGTGACTATTGTTGCGCCAAAGGATTAAATGGTTCGATTGTTCTAGAATGGTATGGAATGTGGAAAACAGCGCCATCTAGTATCGTGTAAAGTACATCTCTTAAGATTGTGGTTAATAGTACTGATCCTTACAGCGCTAGATGGCGCTGCAAGTAACACGTGACTGATTCTTGAATATTCTTGTTTGTCTGGAACGGATTATCGAATTCTAAGGTTCTTTCTAGTAAATTCGATAGCGCTATAAAAGCGGAGCGTGTTGGCCGTTCGAGACAGTACACCTTCGGGAGTACTTCGCCACGCCGATAGCCCCCGAAGAGGACCCCTATTTTCTTCACCCCGGCGATGGTGAAGAGCACCATACGCCGGACCAAGCCACGAAAGGCCCCGGGTGTAGATGGTATCACAAACACAGCGCTGCGCCACCTGCCGCACAAAACAGTGGCAGCGCTGGCGCGCCTCTATAGCGGCATCCTGCGCTCGGGCCACTTCCCCAGCTCGTGGAAGGAGGGGCGAGTTATCATGCTCCCAAAGCCGGGGAAGAACGTACTGAGGCCGGAGAGCTATCGGCCGATCACCCTATTACCCACTACCTCGAAGGTGTTCGAACAGCTCCTGCTGCGTCACCTCATCCCACACACCACACCCAGACCGGAGCAATTTGGGTTACGGTCTGAACACAGTACGACCTTACAACTGTCGAGAGTACTGCACAAGATCACGGCGGCGCGAAACAAGCGCGAGCACGCCGTTGCGGTATTCCTCGACATGGAGAAGGCATTCGACCGAGTCTGGCACGCCGGTCTCCTGAAGAAGCTCTCCATGACACCGACGCCCCGCCGTGTAGTAGAGGTGGTCTCCTCGTTCCTGACCAACCGGACTTTCCGGGTGGTGGTGGAGGGAGAGACGTCAACCGCCCGCAGCATAGCGGCCGGCGTCCCACAAGGAAGCTGTCTATCGCCTGTGTTGTACTCATGTTTCACAGACGACATCCCCCTCGCCGAGGGAGCTGAACTAGCACTGTACGCCGACGACGCGGCGTACATCACTACAAGCATACAGCTCCGCCACGTCGCAGGTGAAGCTACAGCGCTCATTGGACCTGCTGCCCGCATGGCTGTCGCAATGGCGACTCACAGTAAACGTGAGTAAGACACAGGCGATTCCTATAACGAAACGTCATCACGTTCCCACCACCACTCAAACTCCACGGGCAAGACATCCCGTGGATGTCGACCGTCAAGTACCTAGGGATCACAATCGACCGGACCGCCTACTAACCTATGAAACCACACGTCCGCAACACCGTCGCGCGTGTCAGGGCAACACGCGCCCTGCTGCGTCCAGTGTTCGATTCCCGCCTACCGATCCATGTCAAACTGGGTGTGTACAAACTTTATGTACGCACCCAGTTAACTTACGCCGGTCCCTCTTGGTACGCCCTCACCAGCGAGATGAGCCGCCGACAACTGCGCGCGCAACAATCCCTTGCGCTGCGCGCTGTCGTGCAGGCACCGCGTTATGTGAGGAATGACGTCATCGAGAGGGACCTAAAGATGGAGAGCCTGGACGCACACATCCGCCGCCTCGCTACCGCCATGTTCGAGCGTGCCGGCGCCTCGTCCTGGAGCCATATCCAGGGCCTGGCGCCTTGGCGCGCCCGGCCACCGGACCATAAAAGACTACCGCGCGACTTGGTTGTGGACTAGAAAAGCCCCGAGTAGATAGGCGGTCTCGTATCCCCGATCCCCGGGTACGGACGATCTAAATACAACCTCACCTGCCTCTTGGGCCCGCCCGCGCCCCGCCGCGGGGCTGACCTAGGGTCGGCCCCGCGGCGGGGCGCGGGCCGACCCGCTCCCATCCCACACATATAATGCACAATTTTTATATGTTCACAGGACTTGCTGTCGCCGCGACCGCCCCGACTGCCCTGCGAGCACCTGCGCCTACTTGGCCCAAGTAGGCGCACCGTGCGCGGGGGAGGACGGCCGCCGCAACAACAAGATACAAGCCCATACACGAGGCGCTCCGCAGACCGCATCGCTGTGCGGACGGCGCCACACATCCCGGACAACACCATGGGGGACTTCGCGACAAGCCACTGCCTCTGTCGCTGGTCGCTCGGAGCTGGGCCTCCCCAGGCTCGCCTGGGGTCTCACCTGGCTCGAGCTAGACCGCCGAGGCGGCGTGAAGAGCGAAGCCCCTCAAACTCAAACCTACCATAAGGACAGCCCAGGACCTACCCCTGTTTAGGGGTAGCGGTAGATATCGCTGGCAGGGGGCTACAGCCCCGAACCAGCCACCACGCGTCCCCTGTGGGACGGTGTGAAGACCAGCAAGGTTCGAGACAGTATCGTTTTACGACACAGCGAATTAACATCGTATTGAACTTCTAGTGCGACTAACGAGATATATTGTGATTTCTAGTTTATTATAGTGAGTGTTTGTAAATACAGTGCAATAAAGTAATTAACCGACAACTTTTATTGATTATTTACCCCGCTCGTAACTATTATACATAGTGTAAATAAGGATATTTACTCACCTTTAGTTAACTGGTCACTGGCCTTATTATAAACAGGTATATACATTAGCACACAGAACAGTATCATGGCTGTGCAAAACAGAAAGAACTTCGCTAAGACCGTGAGCGTCGATCTCTTCTCTCGCTCTTCCATTTTGGGGGCTGCATATGGCGTGTAGCGGCGATACCGCTCATACCTGGAATATTAAAAATATATATTATACGAGTACTGCGACTTTTTTACACGCTTTATATTAATTAGACTTGTATGTTTGTTTGTATGTTTGTAACCGACTCCTTTGGGCGTGATTTTGACTGACTTTAAACGGTCAGAATTCGTTCAAACTTTGTAGATATATCGAGGACCGATGACAATACACTAATTTAAAAAAAAAATTAAAGAAAATAAATTTGAATAAAAGCGTTGGTTGTCTGCCGAGAATAGTAAAAAGCACCCAACGTTTTTTTTCAAATTTATTTTCAATTTTTTAGTTTGGTTTTCTGTAGAAAGCGTGTTTTTTAGTTTTTTAAAACTATAATTTTTCAGTAACTAATTTATTTAAATTGAGACTGCACGGATAGCGTACTGGTTTAAGCTGTTGTCCCGCCGCTTACTACTACGCTGAGTGTTGTGGGTCCGATCCCCACATGGGACGACACTTTTTGTGATCCACAAATTGTTGTTCTGAGTCTGGCTGTTCTTTGTGTCCGTATCATGTATGTTTGTAAAGTCCCCCGCGACACAGGATGTATTCCTAATGCGGGAGTTGTCTTATATTAAGAAAGAAATTAGTATTTTATATAAAATTCCTTCTTATGGCATTACCGGAAAATGAGCTGTACATGGTCCGGGGTCCCTCGGGGTACCGGGGATTTCCTTCATAGGTTACAATGATGATCCGTGAGAGTGCCCACCATTACGATATAATACTTAAGAATAAAGCTGTGACCATGATGTTAATAATTTACACCATAAAATAACATAAATTTTTGCAAATAGTCTGGTCTGTAGTTTGCAACAATTTGCTTTTAAGTTTTTACCACCCGTAACCGCAATAAATAAAATACATTTATTTCAGATATTAATAACAAACCATATTGTGTCGCAACTCAGTATATGAATATTACAATTGTCGAAATTAAATTATTTCGAAAACAAAAATTGTGGCCAGCGTGGTATAGTAGGAAAAAACCTTTTTTCTGAGGAGAGGCCTATGTCCAGCAGTGGACTATTAAAGGCTGTTGATGAAATATAAATGCAAATCGATCGAAACGTCCAACCAAAATGTTATTGTTGTTTTAATATTATGGCGATTAAGCTTTACAAATCAAGTACAAGAAAAAGAGAGCGCGCGTTGCGGCTTAAAACATTTTAATTTGTTTTTTTTTTCAAAACTTTTTGAAAACCTCTTTTATGTAGACTCTAAAGTCATAGATCAACACACACATTGGCCACAATCTGCTTTTTTTCTCAAATATTTATCAAAATGAATCCAATCCATTATATGCCTGTGCCGATCTACCACCGCCCGTACCCAAAAGCCAAAAAGAAAGACAAATAAACTCACAGCCACTTTTTTTAATTACATACACATACAGTGCATTAAATATATTCCACCATTGTTTAGATGAGTGCCAGCATGTCAGTTATTAAGGACAAAAAGCTAAAAAGCAATAATATGACGTGTTACTTCAGACATCTGACCTACCATAGACAACTCTAGCACCGCACGCGTTTATGGGTCAAATCCAATAGCAAACTCTTCTTCAGCTGCCTGCTTTTTTCTTCTATCGTTTCCAACAAAATAACTACAATAACTTATACAATAGAAAAGAAGAAACATCAACGCACGCAACCGCTGGGTCTAGAAGCATTAAATTTTGCCCAATATTCCGAAGGTGACGTAGGTGTCGGAGCGAGAATGTTTAAAACTCAGCCGTCTCCTTCTGTGAGCAAGTTATGCTTGCGATGGAGATGGTGGAACGGGACCGGGAGAGTTTAAGAACTGTCTCGGCCCGCCAGGCTCGGGCATGGGCCAGGTACCGCAGGCGGCACATGCGCCAGAGGTCGCAGAACGACCTCCGTCCTCCATAAGGGTGTCAGGTGGGGTGTCCATAAAGGGGGTGACAGGTGATGCCATCTGTCACCCTAGTAGAAGCAGGCTGGGATGGCGGCGAGATACGCTGCGGAACGCGCGTGACCTTTTGGGAGCACCAAGGGATCATGGGGGAACCCGGGATTTCCTGTCTAGGCTACACCTGGTTCCCCGCTACTGGTACCCGAGACGGCGTGCGGTTTTTAGTTGTTTCTAGTACGACATAGCAACCGGTAGGTTTTTAAAAATTCTACCCCTAAGAGTACAAAATGGGGTTGGAAATTTATATGAAAATTCGTTCTTCTTGGTAAAAGCGTATCCTCAACGATGTCTAATGTAGACCAGCACGTGGACGAAGTCGTTAACAAAAGCTAATAACTTAAACAATAATAGCAACTTAAAGAACTACCACACTTCGGACACTTTCAGGTGACAGAAGTAACATAACAAAAAAATTGACAATTTTAGAGTGTGGTCTGGTCTCACATCATCACATCAACAGCGGTAATAGTCCACAGTTTAAAGTAGGTTTTGGCTTACTATATCACGCTGGCCAGACGTGTTGGTGTAGGGTTTGTGTCCGCTAGTAGGCCAAAACCTCCTTTCCAAGGAGAGGCTTATGTCCAGCAGTGCCAGTTTACCATTTCATTTACGTACCAGGGCTTGAAGACCATTTTTAGTAGTACCACATGTCACACTATATTCAAATTGTACTTAGTTCTGACCATCGAATATACCGATTAGAAAATGTACTTTTAAGTTACTTGTATTGACTTTACATATCGGGGCCGTTATCTAAGTAATTATGTAAATGCAGACGTGTGTTTGTTGTTCCTAGCGTTGACGTACTTACAGGTTTCTAATGAAAAAATGATTCTAAGGAATTCTTATATATTAGTTTTCGGTCAATTGTCGAAATTAAATTTCTGGCTAGCGAAGCCAAAACCTCCTTTCTAAGGACAAGCTATAGTGGGCTATTAAAGGCTGTTGATAATGATGAAGGCCGAGGATACCGCCGGGAGACACATTATTGTGCGATAAACACGACTATTTATTCTGTCTGCATTTTTTGATCTATGATATTTTTGAAGTGATAACTTCTTATGGGAGGGTAAACCATTTCGTTACGTAACGCGTTACGGCGCCAGTCTGCCTGGCTTCCCTTTCTATCACGCATAAGGCAGCTGTAGGCAGGCTCCTCCTCTCTCACTCTAACCCACAGCGCTAGCCGTATTTCGGACAGACGCTTTACATAAAATTTAAATAATTAAGCTTTTCTCAAGTTAAACAATTTCAATATTAAATAGTTCAACTTAGATTAGTTTAAGTTATCACTTCTGTCGGGCGTCCCGAGACGCACACTTTTTTCTTTTTCTTTTATTTTTTTCAGGTAACTTCAAAAGCTGAACGCGCCGGTGGTATTTGAGAATAGAAGTAAGTGGCGGGCTGTGGTCTCTGCCTACCCCCAAGGGATAAATGCGTGAGCTAATGTGTGTATACTCATATTTGTGAATATTCACCAGCTTGCCTCACGACTAATTGACTGACTCCTACTGGTGACCGTTTTAAAGTTGCTTTGATTAAAATAAATGATTCTGATTTGATTTTAATTTAATTCATGAGTGGGAATATATGCTGGATTGTGTAGCATGAATATCTACTGTTTATGAAATCGTTAAGGTACTATAATCATTATTTATTTATTTATTTCAAGCGCCATTAAGAATACGTCGTGACACGACCCCTATTGACCCCGTAAGTGTCGTAAGCGCCGACTAAGGGAGCAAACTACACAGATCAATTGCACTGCAAAGAGAACAAACAACGGGGGGACTGGATCCTCCCTTTCACCCCGACGGGTCATCACTGTGGAACGGGTGTCATGTCACTCCAATATAAAGAAAGGATCCTCTGGCTCAGGAGCTCAGGAGGCTCAACAGTTGGAAACTTGATACAAACACGTCTGGCCAGCGTGGTATAGTAGGCCAAAACCTACTTATGTCAAGCAGTGGACTGTTAAAGGCTGTTAACAAGTCTCAAACTATTAAAGATCCATTTCTCGTAAAAATCTATTGAGGATGTTAAAGTGGACACGAAATTGCATAAATGGATGTTTTCAATGGATTTTACTGGACACATGGCACGTACGTACCAAGCAACTGTATTTACTATGTCACAGATAATTACTGTTATTATAGAAAATCAATAACTATATGGTGTCTAGAAAAAAGTTGTATAAAAAAACAAGGACATTTACAAGGTATTTTTAAGTATAGGGCACGATACAATCTATGACATAATATATTGATCCTTTATGCGTTGTAATAAGCTTAATAATTGATTAATGAGCGATAGTTATTTTATGTTAATGAGGGCTTTCTCTTTTTCTATACAAATAAATAAAATTGAAGTGTCTATTTGTAATGTCAAAATAATAAGTATTATATATGCCATGACTTCTAGACTCACACAGTTCATCAACATCATCAACAGCCTTTAATAGTACTACTAGGTTTTGGCCTACTATACCACGCTGGCCAGACGGGGGATAGGCTCCGCCTAGCCAGAACTTGTGCAGTACTCGTATATTACTAGAGGACAATTGCAGTCATGTATGCCGGGTTTTGTACCGCCTTGCGAATCCCATGGTTCGGTTTATTATTGTATTTATTTGGTTTGTAATATCATCGACAACCACAGTTTTAATTATCGGATTCTTAGAACTTGACGTTCAAAAGTTATTTAAGTTTGTGGTTTACATATACGAGTACATAGGCTGTGGCGATACTCATAACAGATGGCTGTCGCAAATGAGTTGTCATTGCTGTCAATAACTTACCGTAGGTAGGGACCTTATTTTTAAAATCCATACTAATATTATAAATGCCAAAGTGTGTATGTCTATCTGTGGCTTAAACCGCTGAACTGATTAAGATGAATTTAGGTATAGAGATAGTTTGAATCTCGGGAAAGGACATAGGATAGGTTTTATCCCAAAAATCATCCTTCAAAGGGGTCAAAAGGGTGTTGAAGTCTGTATGGGGAATCAATAACTGCTAAATCGATTAAAATGAAATTTGGTATGGAGATAGTTCGATTCTTGAGCAAGGACATACTTTTTACTGAGATAAAATAAAATTATAGTAAGAATGCTGTTCTAACTCATTTGCGTAAGCTATTACAATGATGACTTTGACGAAATATCTTCCACCTCACAAAAAGTATCTTTAAAAAACAAATCACTAAAAGGTTGCAATCGTACTTGTGAATCCAAATCAAGATTGTTTTTGTAAGTTGCTTTCTTTTGGAATGCTTTCACTCTGCACAATATACCCAATATATACCCAAATTAGAGATAGTATATTGCCTATGTTTAAGTGGTGCACGCAATTTTTACTTGTCGGGAAACTTTATTGTTGGCTAAGAGTCCATTGTAATGTTTAACTTCACCCATGATATATGTAACATAGCTGTTATAGTTAAACCGCCGTAAGCTTGGCCCTCCTCATAGTTTGCGGGACGCGGGGCGGGTGATGCGCTCGGCTATACATGACACGATGTAATAACTCGATATCTTCAGATTTATTTGTTTGAGATTTAATCTACACACGATGTAATAAAAATCGAATTTATTTCCATGTATTATAATGTCAGTGTATTGTAAGTTTTTATGATTAATTGTAAAATTTAATACTGTAAAATAATTTTAATAAAATCACCTTATCTTCATCATGTAAATTATATTCAGATACAATTTAAAATTAAGTAAAAAATAAATATTCCTTATTAGAACTTTTACAGTAGAACCTCTGTAAGCCGAACTTCAAGTTTTTAAATCTTTTTGTGACGCAGAGTCGGCAGATTATCCATGTTGTAAAATAATACCGTGTGTAGCAGTCTTAAGAAAAATAACACGTACAGCCATGCTTTCACGTCAGTCACTGCGGGCGGACAGCGACGCACTAGCTAATTGGTTGAATGCACCCCCGCCCCGCGTCCCCCAAGCCATCAGGAGGGCCAAGCTTACAGCGGTTTAACTATACCTAAATAAATAACCGATATAAATCCCGGCTATGTCTGTGTAAATCAAACACTGCTCTAATGCATAACAGTGTTTTCGCCATGGCTCCAAAAATATATAATAAATTACCTAGGAATATAAAGGAGTCAAATCCGACTATCTTTAAACAGACATTAAAAAAAATCTGAGCCAAAAATGCTATTATAATGTAAATGGTTTTCTGCAAGACAAATTGTAAATCAAATTAATTTCGTTCATTGTTATTTAATTTATGTTGAACATGACAATGTGACATTTTTTTCATTTTTATTATTTTGATTATTATTGTTGTTTTTTTTATTATTTTTTTGGTTTTATTGTATTGATCTGACTTAATAACATTCATAATACTCTTGACATTATTAATTCTCTGAATAAATTTATGATATGAATATATCCTTCAAATTGTATTTGTAATGTTGAACGTCTAAATAATAATCTTTTAAATATCTATGTCTAAATATTTGCACACCTTTAAGAGGTTATATTACAGCGTACCCATGTATTATATGATGTATCTTCTACCACCTTTATACCTGTTTTATGCAAATAATAAATGATTTTGATTTTGATATACACGCAAGCGGAGCCACGAACGAAAGCTAGTCCTAAATATGCAATACAGTTATAACTCTTCTTTTGCAAACGTTTTTAAATAGCAAGGATATTGGTCTTGTTTCCACCTGTTGTGGTCATCTAGCACTGCTCCAGGCAAAACCGCGCGTGGTTTTCCCCAACATATATCGATTTCTTGCCATTGTAGTAAACATTTGTAGGTAATGCCTAAACCATTGTTGTAATCTCAGGATATAAGGAAACTGATCGATTCAGATTAAAATTATTAGTTCATTATTTGTATTAAAATAATAACGTCCGTGTGGTGACGGATTAAGAATACAGAGTGTCACCACCCCTATTCATCCCGTGGCGTGTTGTAAGACCCGACTAAGGGAGCAAACTAAGCAGGACAACAGCACTGCAGAGAGAAGGAAAACTTGAAACAAACCCTATACCAACCCGTCTGGCCAGCGTGGTATACTCGTAGTAGGCCAAAACCTCCTTCCTAAGGAGAGGCCTATGTCCAGCAGTGGACTAGTAAAGGCTGTTGATGATGATGATTAAAATAATTCCGTTATATTTTATTATTATTAGTGCTGTGACTTAGTTGTAGACTGTGATTATTAGAGCAAACTACGCAGGACAAAAGCACTGCATAAAGAAGGAAAACCTGAAAGAAACGTCGGTATTGAAGGCCAAAACCCCCTTTCTAGAGAGAGGCCTATGTCCAGCAGTGGACTACTAAAGGCTGTTGATGATGATGATTACTAAATAAATACATATTGTAGATAAATTGTCCATAGAAGAACAATCTTCTTTTCTTCTTGCACAAGAAGATTGAATATAAATTTAATTACCTGTTAGACAGTATTGGGCTGTCATCACTGTCTCGGCCAGAAGAGTAAAGTCGGTCATCATCGTAACAGTGTTTATCATCATCCATATGTATCACACTGGAACAGAAGAAAAGAAGAATTAGACAGAAGAATTGATCATATTTCTTTATGATTTAGGCGGGGCAATAATGACTAGCGTCGTCCATTGACACCTCTAATCCAAGAGCTGTAGGTACGTCAGAGGTCTGTGAGTACCCTCCAAGAATTAGGAGGGACAGGACCGGTAACTTCACGACACATATACACATATGATTCGTACAGCGGTCTCATAGAAAACTAGTTAACCAACTTTTTTTTTTAAAGACAACTCCCGCATTAGGTATATATCCTGTGTCGCGGGAGACTTTACAAACAAACATGAAAGGGACACAAAGAACACCCCGACTCAGAACAACAATTTGTGGATCACACAAAGTGTCGTCCCATGTGGGGTTTGGCCAACCCACAACAATCGGCGTAGCGACCGCTTAAACCACTACGCCATCCGTGCAGTCGACTCCTTCATTGCATTATCACAGAGTGAGTCAGGTTACCTGAAGCCCATCAGGTACTTACAAGTCAAGATACGTCAGCTCATTGCCCCTTCCACCATAAACAAACAGTAACAGAACTTGTCATATAAATAATAGATTAAACAGAATAGTAAAACTTTGACTATCAAGTTATCTACAATTGGTCATTAGGTTCTTTGACCTGGGCGATGACCTATTAATGTACAATTTTCATTTCATAGCAGAGTTGTTACTAGGAATATAGAGATCCGGGCACGCCGTCACGGGACCCTCTCATACCGATTGACGCAGGTGATCACTGGGAAGGGATGTTTCGGAGATCGTCGTTTTCGGTGTCTGATCCGCAAGGAGCCAACGCCTGAGTGCCACCACTGCGATGGCCAGACCGTGGACACGGCTCTCCACACGCTGGCAGAGTGCCCGGCGTGGGTTGAGCAGAGGCGAGACCTCGTGGCGGCCATCGGAGTGGGAGTTCTCTCGCTCGATAGCCTGATTGCGGCTATCGTGCGGAGCGAGAGTGCGTGGAACTCTGCCGGGACCGGGAGAGGTTTAGAACTCTCCCGGCCCGCCAGGCCCGGGCACGGGCCAGGCAGCGCAGACGACTCAGGCGCCGGAGGTCGCAGAACGACCTCCGTCCTCCATAAGCGCAGGCCTGGGGGTGACAGGTGAGGCCATCTGTCACCCTAGCAGAAGCAGGCCGGGGTGGCGGCGAGCGCGTTGCGAAGCGCGCTCGCTTCCAGGGAGCACAGGGAACATGGGGTTCCCACACGGGGGGGGGGTCGTCTACTCGTCTGTAGATGACCCGAGGTATGTCGGGGCACCAGAGACTTCCTTTCTAGGGTATACCTATATATCCCCGGCTATTAGTACCCGGCGTAGGCGTGCGGTTTTAGTCGGTTCGAGTCCGACATGCCACCGACAGGTGGTATCCGAGGGGATTTCCGCACGAAAAAAAAAAAAAAAAAAAAAAAAGGAATATAGAGATCATACAGTAAAATGCCAAGCAAATTTCATGAATTAAGTATTAACACCGTAATCCCTATATTGTACTCGCACAGTTTTATTTAACTTTGTTTACGGACTTAAAAAAAAAGACACCTCTGTGGTTTCGGCGTTTCTTTCCAGAGCGAGTCTTAGGAAATGCCGGCTCCTTCTAGCCGTAAATTCCGACTTGATCATTTATCATCATTTATAACAAATTGAAGTCCTTAGTTAAACAAAAACTATGTGAAAATGCTTAAATTTGTTTGGGATTGATGCTGCTCACTCCCACATTTGAAAGTGATGAACATTTAATCTTTTCTTGTAGTTCGTATTTAGTTTATTTTAAATTGAATTGTATAGTTTTAAGTAAGTAAAGGTGAGTATAGTGTAGGCTTGTAATGTAGGCTTCCCAGAGCGAGTCTTAAGAAAATATAAAAATAGAATTTTCCAAATCACACTCATATTAAAAGGAGGAAAGCTTGTGATGTGTGTTTGTATGTTTATTACTTCACCACACTAAAATTATCTATCTAAATATATATAAGAGATTTCCACGTATATAGTCACTCATCACGATATCTCTGGAACCATTAGAGCTAAAGACTTGAAATTTGGTAGGAATATTCTTTTCACCGAGTAGAGGTCAGCTAAGAACGGATTTTAAGAAATTCAAAAATAAAATTTTAAATAATGTAAATAGCAAAACATCGTTTGCAGGGTCAGCTAGTATATTATATACCTATAGATAAAATTTGGTATAGATTGTTTATCAGCAGTCTGGTTACCGTAGTATAAGCTCCGCCTTGTTTGAGATCAGACGGCCGTGTGTGAGATGTAAAGCTAAATAAACATTTCAAACAAATGACGTTTATTCCATGAGCACTACTTCATCATTCAACAAACAGGCGAGCTTTGAGGTAATCAATTGAGACTACTGTTTTTATCCTGAACTAGCTGACCCGCGCAACTTCGTCTGCGTCTCTCAATAGTAATATATTTTCTCGGTTTTTGTAACATTCTTCATTTGTGCTCCGCTCCTATTGGTCTTAGCGTGATGATATATAGCCTATAGCCTTCCTCGATAAATGGGCTATCTAACACTGAAAGAATTTTTCAAATCGGACCAGTAGTTCCTGAGATTAGCGCGTTCAAACAAACAAACAAACAAACTCTTCAGCTTTATAATATTAGTATAGATATCAATATTAACCGGTTTTTTTACATTTTATGACATTGTACGGGCCCGAGTAACGAGTTCGGATTGTACCTCTCATTACGTCACTCCTTAATAATTTAAACTGCGCAGGAAAACCGCACTGCAAAGATAAGGAAAACCAACCCGTCTGGCCAGCATGGTATAGTAGGCCAAAACCTATTTTCTAAGGCGAGGCCTGCGTCCAGCAGTGGACTATTAAGGCTGTTGTTGTTTTTGCTGTTGATCAGGCGACCCGTCAGCTCGTTTATCTTCCCACAATACCTTAAAAAATGTATTGAAATCCTCCAAAATATACTAACAAAGAGCACTAAGAACCTAGCAACAATCGCGGTTGATTTCCCGTCATTTTTTGAAGAGTCCCGTTGTCTGTCTCCGAAACTCATCATCAAATCCATATGGGACCATTTCGGCATAAACCCCATTTGAACAAAAAAACATAATTTACAAAATCCGTCTATATATGACGGAGTTATGCACGAAAAAACACAAAAAATATATATAAACACCCTAATTGATAATCTCCTCCATTTTGAAGTCGGTGAAAACACCCATATAGGTCTCAACATCCCATCTAAGATCCGTATCGGAACATTTAATGTATAATAATATACATATTTATGTATAAATATATATTAACATTATAAAATTGACTGATAACATCAAAACGGTAGCAGTAGCATTGGTTTTACATTTACAGCGATAACAAATATTTTCGTTATGGTTCGGTATATAATAATAATATATCTCACACATCTCACACACGGCCGTCTGATCCCAAACTAGGCAGAGCCTGTACTATAGTAACCAGACCGCTCATAAACATACTTATATACTTTTAAATACATACTTATTATAGATAAATTACACCCAGACACAGAACAAATGACCGTGCTCATCACACAATATTTGTCCTGAGTGGGAATCGAACCCACGACCTCCGGCTTAGCAGTCAGGGTCACTAACCACTAGACCAACAGGCCCGTCGATATAGGTATGGTTTTCAGCTTATTTGTTTATTAACTACTAGCTGACCCGCGGTGTTACCCGCGTTTGTTGTTATAACCGCGGGCAACGCCGCGGGGCGAAGGTAGTCTAAAAAAAGTAGCCTAAGTTCCTCCTTATGTCATCAGCTATCTGCCAGTGAAAGTCCCGTCGAAATCGGTCGAGCCGTTCGAGAGATTACCCGGAACAAACAGACAGACAGACAGACAAAAATTGTAAAAAATGTTACTTTGGCATATGTAACGTGTAAACATACATATGCATTTAGTAAAAAGCGGTTATTTTAATATTACAAACAGACAGATGAATAATACAGAGTGTCACCACCCCTATTCGTGTCCTAAAAGCCGACTAAGGGAGCAAACTACGCAGGACAAGAGAGAAGGAAAACTTGAAACAAACCACCAACCTGTCTGACCAGCTTAAAAACCTCCTATCTAAGGAGAGGCCTATGACCAGCAGTTGACTCTTATAGGCTGTTGATGATATCGAAATGAGGTACGGAATAATAGCGATGGCAGGACTCGTCGACCGCTCTAAACCTCACCGTCGCAATAAGTGAGTGAGGGAGAGTGCGCCTTTGAACAGAAGATCAAATTTGGTTGAATGATTGAGGTCAAAGTGTAGTGTAGTGTAGTGACGGATTAAGAATACGGAATGTCACTACCCCAATTCATCCCGTGGGTGTCGTAAGAACCGACTAAGGGCGCAAAACAACGCAGGACACTAGCACAGCAAAAAGACGGAAAACTTGACACAAACCCTATACCAACCCGCCTGGCCAGCGTGGTATAGTAGGCCAAAACTTTCTTTCAAGGAGAGGCCTATGTCCAGCAGTGGACTATTAAAGGCTGTTGATGTGATGTGTGATGTGATTGAGGTCTTTGTAGGTTAGATTCAGAGCCCTGACAATAACACCTTATAATAGACTACTACGTGGGTTGTTTAAGTCCACCTTCCTTCTTCCGTGCCTTTTTTCCCAAACTAGGTTGGGGTCCGCTTTAACTCTACTATGATACGGCTGAACTTTGATTTTATACGCGGAGCGACTGCCATCAGACCTTAAAACCCGCGTTTTAAGTCCACATTTCTTTGTTAAGAGTGACGAGAGACCTTCTGCTGTTGATGATGATGATTCCACATTTCACACACAGCAGTCTGATCCCACCCGAGCCTGCACTATGGTAACCAGACTGCTGATAAAAATACTTATATATTTCTTACAGAACAAATAATCGTAAATAACAGGAAACTCTAAAACTATTATTGTGACATTCAAAACAAATACTGCAGTACTGCGCAGGCGCCAAAAAGGCTCGATGGACCAGATGTA